CGAACCACATTTCCTTGAGTCCGAACGCATCAGCGAAATAGATCTCTGAACCCGAAGGTACCAGTAAGAAGATTGGCTGTAATGTGGAGTATATGGATCCAGATCGATGGATTGACTCACACGGTGGAATGAAGTGCTCCGTTTTGTTGTTGCTAATCTGTCTTTGATGGACTGACCTGTTCAGCTGATACTCACCTCAGGCTTCTTTTTCCTATAATATTTAATTGTATTTGTTGAAATTAGAGGTTTTGATTGGACAGATCCAAACAACATTGATGTTAAGATAAACTACAGGTAGAGGTATTAGTGCAATGGTTTAGTAAATCAGTTAAACTATACTTATGAAAGTCTATCACATTCACGCTGTGGCGGATACAAATATTGTCACTCACCAAAGGAAATAGCTTATTGAACAACACGTGTGTGTATTGTGTAACAAATATTGATAGCACTCTCGTTTTAATGCCGAGGGAACCAAATTCACGGGGCTAATTGTCAAAATACCTCTTGTCACCTCGAGCGCTGCCAGACTTGAGGGCACTTGTTTGCCTCTTCCACTCGGATGATTCAATAACTCCAAACAAGTTTGCATCCTCGTGGGGGGGGGGGGAGTCGACGGCTCGTACGTGCGCTTTCATCGCCGCGGGACACAAAAATGTGACGAGTGAAGCTCTCGGAGAAACCCGCCGTGATCCAACGGCCTCGCTTCAGGTGAAAGGGCCTCGGAGGGAAAGCCGTGTCGTCTGCTTCAGCCCCGAAACCTGGTTTGATGCGTGCGCATCGGGAAGAAAGTCACCCGGTGTCGTCTCAAGCAACTACCCACAAAGCTCGGCAGAGCCACAGTTCACGTGCTCGGGTCACCGACTAATAACGGCCGTGGAACCTCAGCCGTAAATAAACGGTGGCAGGCCGTTGATGGAAGTTCAGCGTTGACATTTCTCCTGCATGGTAATGGGTGACCCTGCTTCCCCCCCCTTCCAGTGAGGACTATAGTGAGAGTAAACAGTCCGAGTTAATGACAGGAGGGGGGTCCAACTAACCCCCTGCCCCAGGCCATGTCTTGGGCTAATCTGCTTTGATCACCTGTGCTAACGTCTCTATTATCAACAGATTTCAGCCATCAACAAGGAATTACATTAATGTCACTTCCTGTGACCCAGCTGTGTGTGTGTGTGTGCATATCTTTGGTTAACATGTTTATTCCCTTGGGAGAACCGAAGAAGTTGTGAAGGTGAAGATGTGCACATAGTACATTGTCTTCATTCCAGAAGCCCGTGTTCGCACGCCGGAGGCCGGTCGCTCGCCCGCAGATCACCGGGTTCCTGCAAGAATATAAGGCAACAACTCCCTCAGATCATTTAGTATTATTTGTGCATTCGGTGGTGGGGGTGTGGGTGGGGGGGGGGGGGTTGATGCAGAGCAGGAAATGTGTGGATGTGTGGCAGGCGGGCACAGACACGTCTCTAGTGGCTGTGGGAGAGCGCACCATGAATAAATTTAGCTCTGTCCCCGGGAGATTGCCTTCAATCACGAAGCATAAGGTGTCAATGCTGCGCCCTGTGTGCGTGGAGCACCAAATTACCTTCCAGCAGATTGCTGAGCTGGGTCTAATAGGAATTGGGAAACGGACTGTTGAGTGCGGACTGCTAATTAATCCGACCAAAGTCAGAGCCCATGTCCTGGGCCCGCTGACAACTGGTCCGGTTAGTGCCAGGAATACATATACTCCCAACTCCCAAATGAGATATTGTTCCTCAAGTAAAGCTGGGGAGGATGTGAATAATGAGAGATTATGTAAACTGTTAATAAACCTTGGGAAAAGATCATTGTGTGTGTTTATCTGATATTGATCGTGACGCCTGTACTTACTGTACATACTCGATGTTGTGTGATGTAAGTCACGAAAACCTGCGCATAAACAAATGTTTGGCAACGTATTTGACATGATCAAATATCGATAACTGTTGTTATGCCGTGCAAAATCTCCGGCGCTACTGTAATGTGGATCCATTTTCATGTAACCACATCAAATGGTCTCTGTGACTCCTGTGGTGTGTGAACCATAACATTAAAGGCCATATCCAGTATTCAGCACAAGCTAAAAATATTAACATCTCAATTTACATACAAATTTCCATGCATCTAAAAGCGAAAAAAAACTCTTTACCAAGCCATTTTCCTATTTTGAATAATAGGTGCTTTTCAGAGATTCAGTTGATTGACTAAACAAAGACATGACTAGTGCATTAAAGCAATTGTTTATCGCCACGGAATCATGTTGTATGTATAATTTTGCTGTAAACAGTTATTAACTGACACAGAAACCATGGATTTGTATAATAGCCGGTAATCATTCCACCTCAGGATGGGTTTTCGCTGTCATACAGGGTTAAAGAATTAGAGTGTAGTCAATTACATTTAGCAGGTCACAGAAATTGATTTACTGCCTAAGGAATGGTTTTTTTTTTTTTTTTTTTTTCAACCCGGCTTCGGCTCTGTGGTGGCGTTCTGCTCACATAATCAAGGATGAGCGTCGCCTGTCTACCCAATCTACTACTTGGTCCCACAGGAAAAGATGACTTGCAACAGGAAAACCTGCATGAATACTAATTTACCTACTTGGCTTTAACAGCTTTTGCAAGCCAATCTCATAGGAATTTGTAGAATATGGTGCCTTACCATCTTTCCATATTAATTACCCAAACTGAAAACGGGGACAGCAGGAGACGGGGACAGTGGAAGAGTGTAAGGCGTAGATTGAGAGCGGGAAAGAGCGGGAGGGACTCATGGGAATAGCTATAAGCAGGACCTCTGTGCTCTCCATCCTAAATGCGGTTAATTATAATGTGATCTGAAGCATCTTGAGCAGGAATCTGGCAATCTAGATTTGGAGCTCTGTGACCACAGCTCCGGTTTTGGTCACTTCATTATATGGTTCAGAATAGCCGGTTCTGCTCAGCCACTCAGCAGTAAGTTCACAAATAGTAACCTGAGGCAGAACTGGGGCACATTAGTTATGCTCCCTATCTGACTCCTGGACTCTTTTTCTTCATTTCATTCAGGCAGGAGGGAATGTCCTGACCTAATTAATGTACTAATACCTGGAAATATTTCCAATTCCATTATTGATCCAATTAGTACCGCATGGTTTCCAATAATTTGTTGGTTTTAAATGGGACCCACAGTCAAGATTACCTTCACGAGGACACACAGAGAATGATGAATCTGAGGGGACAGACATGATGTGTCGTGTACCCCCGAGGTTTCAACCCTCGGACCTCATATTTATCATTCAAACAATTCTATTAGGTCATCATTTAAACCAATAAAGACTCTTATAATCATGCAAGGGAACGCCCCCGTTTACCTCGCACCGCACATCACGGCTCGACTCACGTTCCCGTTCCTCCACGTCGTGTTACCAGTGCAGATGGTGCCCCTGAGGAACCCTCGATTCATCTAAACAGCAGAGGAGCTGCAGCTGCGCTAGAGAACATGATGACTCCTGAGATGTAATTTCTTTCAAAACAGATTTGAGGAAATTAGAAAATGTGCTTCCTATTAAAAAAAACAGAAGGTTTAGTGACTGGTGACTTTTCTCTCGGACAAATCAGGGGTCTGCAGAGTTTAAAGTCCCCCTTCTTGCATCATGTCGCGAGGAGAGTTTGGAGGAAACAGGACTTTAGAATCTTTCTGCGAGGGAATTCAACTAACAAATAACTTGTGTATTATGTCTCTCCAGCTGACAACTCATTCACATTTTAACCAGGAAAAAAGAAAATACATTTCAGATGGATTCCCTCAGACAGTATGAGAAAAAGAATGTGTTTTTAACATTAAAGCATGTAAACATGTAGTATAAACAAGTCAATACAATCATCAACCTTAAGCATGGCCATGATGTGTCCTCTTTAATGATTATATGTTGCAGGCTTAGGTTAATGAATCAGGTAAAACTAAATTCACCAAACATCAAAAATATTGATATAATACCGTTATATGTTTTAATTCTAGAGGATTAATTTTTGTCAGGATACTTACTTTTGTCAATTACAATTTAAAAGAAGACACGTGAGATGCATTTTTTCCCAGTCAAAGGTTTAGGACAAAAACTCAGGTTATAGTGGGCAGCCTTAGAGAACACAGGTCCGTATATATGAAATCCTCCATAAAGCATCAACACAATAAGGCTTTTAGGCGTCCATGCTGAACACATTTTCACTTGGCCCCTTTGTGTCGGAGAATCTCACCTGGTCTTTGGAGAGGGGGCAGAGGGGAGGAAACCTTCCTGCCCCGACTATGGAGAGAAGGCCTTCCTCTGTAACCCACTCTCATTCACAGACATCATTCATGTGCAAATCATCCGTGGACCCATTGTTCACCCGCTGCGCTTTCAGATACTTGCCGAATCCAGTGATAAATGTGATGGCCGGGCCGAAGATGTTCCATATGGTGAAAAGGTTTAATAAGACTTGATAATAAAAAGCACTCACGGCTAGAACAATAGCCGGTGCAACTCCTTTGTGGAACACCAATGTGGCTCCTCTCCGTTTGTTCGGCATGTGTGCCGACGTTACCGTGCTCGGAGGCTAAAGTGACACATCCAACGGTTGCAAGTCGCTCAACGTGGCTGGATTCCATTTTAGACAAGGTGTGTGACGCTTGGCTATATTCCTTTTTGGCAGTAAATTATGAATAACGCAGAGTGCTGAAGAGGATTTCACGCTCGTCAGGGCCAAATATTTTGATTGAAGTGTAGTATTTATGCAGCATAAACTAACTTAAGGGTCTCTCCATGGTGATTTAGTGTGGCCTTTATAACCAGACAGATGATTTTCATTATGATAAACTATATCAGTGAATGATGACTAAAATATATTAAAACGTAAAATAAAACATTGTTGATAAAATCCGATGCAAAAGTATATAAACTGGAACAGAATGTAGGGTGGTATAAACGTGGCCCATTTTGTAAAAGAAACAAAACTTCCAAACATTGATTGTGTATTCAAGTTTGTATTTCAAAGTATTTCAGCTCAGTTAAAAGTACAAGGCTTTCTTTTTTCACGACAGTCATTTTGAAATGTTCCACGGGAAAAACACAATTAAACCTAAAGTCAGGAATCATTTAATCAATACAATACATAGACAATGAAAGTGTACCAAATGCAAGGCCTATCCATCAAACTATTGATTACCAAAGAGTTGCATCAACAGAACAAGTGAGTAAGATTCTGCCGCTCCTGCACCCATGATGCACCCATGACCAAAACGCCAATGTGCAAAACAATATCTTGCATACATGTGTATTCATTCTATTTCAAATGAAAAGAACATAAAAATGATTTATTGGTGTTAGAAGTTTCCCGTTGAAAACGTAGAGCCTACATGTTGTCGTAGTTGTGGATAAATTGCTGCGATTCACAGCACGACACACGGACCCGAAGCCTTGGAGCTCCATAAAGCTTTGCAAACTGACTTATTTTCTTGTTTCGACAAGGACAAATTTATTCATCCTCGCCAAAGTCAACATTTTGCCAACAACTCACTGTTGATCAGTGTAAAAGATTGTTTAACTCCATATAATGATGCCTGATCCCTTTGAAAAAGCCCCAGCCTGTGTAATCAAAAGCACAGGCTTTTGTCTCTCTAACACACATACCAAAGAAGGTGCAGAGGAGGCCACGTCAGAATGAATGAATATTTAATTGAGGCCTATTGAGGCAGAAGATCAAAATGACCTTGCTCTTAATGATTATTCAGTGGTAAAAATAAAAGTACGGCAGGGGAGAATGAAAAGGCGCACAATGGTGTGCCTCCGCTCGTCCAGGAAGGAATATATTACACAAACAGATTAGAGCAAAACATGACGTGGACCCTGACTACAAATTACAATCTTACTTGAAGCGATATCCAAAATGCATTATTTCAATTTAAAACGCAGTAAGAGGATCGTCAGACTTCACATCTCTGATGCTGGCAACACAAGTGTGCTGGGTTAACAATTCAGACGCATGCGGGCGACTCAAACGCAAACCGCCAATGAAAGAACAGTGACCCCGTCCTATTGGAAGTTGCCTGGACAAAAAGTAGGTCAATCAGGCGTGTGGGGGAGCAGGACCCTCCTCTCAACTTTCCAGACACTCACGGCAGCAATTGGTGGGAGGGGGGGGGGGACGGGACAGCTGAATTGATGTGGACTGAACATGAATTGATTTAAGCTCAACACTTGATGGAGTGCGTGACTGAAAGGAACATGCTTCCATATTGATAAAACAGCATTTATTTGGAGCTCACATTCAAAAGTTTATTCATGTCATTTTCATTCATGTAACCTTGTCCGGTCCTAATTCTTTGTTACATAACAAATATAAACACAAAAATGAAACACACAACGCTGCAATGAGCTTTGACAGGAAATAAATGTGTCAGCGCTCGGAGATATCACTATAAACACTATATTAGTTTGAGATATTAGGTTGTTGATGAATCCACAAATTATCGTCTCAATCTCCCAAATTGTTTGGTCCATCAAACGTCTGCAATTTGTTTCATCCCAACAGTAGTACGAAGCCAATAGGCTTCCACATTTGGGAACCTCTCAAAATTGATTGTCAAGCTTGCTGTGTGGTTTACCTGTAAAGGGTTGTTTACCTGTTATATCACCACTTTGTGAGAAGAACACACTTTTCTTCCCGTCCTAGTCGTATGAAGGGAGCCGCCGGTCTAACGGCGACCAGAGCGCGATAGATCAAGTAATTCAGCCACTGTGCGAAGCCCTCAACTGCAAGATGAAACTCTGGACGCCCCCCCATGACCATCTGCGTGCACCTGCTCGGAATTTCATCCACATCGTCTCTCTGGAACGGAATCGGGGGAAAGGGCCTTTTTAAAAATGTTATTGTGTTAGTACACATTAGTATAATACAACTCCCGCTTCCACCGGGATTTATCCGTTGCACACAAGTATCTGTTGACATGCTCCTTAACATGGATATTATGTTAGGGAGCCTTTTAGATAACTCAAAATGATTCTGCCGCCGTCCCTTTTTCCCGCGGTGGGTCAGGGCTGTCTGAAGCCATTATTGGTAATGAATGTGGAGTCCTACTTTAAAAAAGGTTCAGGCATGTAAAGTCACCTAATGCTGACTAATGGAATCCCGCTGACACTGAATGCCGGGGGGCTTTTACCGCGTCCCAGATTTGGCAGATTTGGAAATTTACACTGCTAGACATAATGAACTGGGAATGTAAACTTGGGAATGTGGCCTCCCACACAGGAGCTCGGCGCCATTGACGCAGGCGGCGCGCTCGATGTTGATGCTGCTAAAAGAATACGTGGCAGGAGGCTATTTTGTGGTTTTTCGGCACCAATCCGGCTACTCGTGACTCATTTACACAACGACGCGGCCGAACTGAGACGTGCGTCTTTGTTGGCATCGGAAGAAGCAGCTGTGAAAATGTTGTGTGGGGCGTTTGTTAGGCGGTTCTAAATATTCAGAGTTTGTTAGAGCTGCAACACTTTGTGCCCTGGGAGATGGGCCTCTTCAGCAGGTTCACAGGTCGCGCAGCAGCGTGCAGAGTGGCCATTGTGCTTTGTCATTTCACAGGTGACTCATATCACTACACTTGAGCATGCTGGAGGTAGAGCACTCGGAGATGCCTGCGGCATTCAAAATGCATGATTTTCAGCCTAGTGCAAACAAATCGCTTTAAAAGATCAGTTTAATCTATTTCGAGCTGTTATTATGAGCCGGGAGAGTTGTTCAGATAAAGAGACTGAAGCAGGGTTAACATCAGAGTGTTGGACAACTCTTCACGCTCTTTACCCAGCGTGAGAGCTGTCAACTCTATTATTTGTTTTTACGATACAGCGTGCATATGATTTACAATGCAGACCACTGAAATAATGGTCAGGGGTTGAATTACTGCAAGGCCAACCGGCCGAGACCGTGCGGGAAAATAAAGTAGTTCCTTTCAACAAAAAGAAAAAAGAAAAAAAAAACATCTGCAGGAAAATATCAGTCACAGAAGCCATTAATGTCCTGGTTGTTTGTGTTGAAAGGTTTGGGACGCAAGGCCGCTTCGATCTCCGAGTCGCTATCATCCGAGTCGCCCCAGAAAGCTACAGGTGGAACAAAAGAAATACGACATCACATTATCACAGCAGAACGTTTACACTTTATGCCTTCAAATGAGATGTAAGCTTTTTACACGCTTTCTTTATGAGCATTCCGGGATGAAAGCAGAGGAGGTTAATCTTACCTTGAGTTTGATCGAACGGTGAGAATGTTAACGTTCTAACCTTTTAATCCAGTCTGGTAATATTCATTAAATCTATGTCGTGGCCTGTAAATACCGACGATAGCGCAGCGCTCGTCCTTTGACATTCACCTCCAGAAGCGCTGTTCAGAGGACTGTCATTATTTTATGTTTTTGCCCGCTGCATTTCTATTCGTTCTACGGAGCAACTGCAACCAGCCATCACCATATAGATCATACACATTAGGTGTGTGTGTGTGTGTGTGTGTGTGTGTGTGTTGAAGGTTTTTACGACTTTTTAATTGATCTCTTGGGAGGATTTAGGGAACGCTCGCAAGCAACACAAATCAAAGTATTTTTTATTCAATAATCTTCATTTACACATCCTCAACTTGGAAAACGCATGCCAGTGAATAGATTTCTGACACATGCTGTTAGGAATGACTGTCGATACTCACCTTTGGTTTGTACAGGATGAGCTTTTGAGTTGGTCTTCTCTTTCCTGGAAATATAAAGCGCAGCTGTTAGCTGTGTAAAGTATTATTTTGAACACAAGAAAAACAACCCAAGTAATGAAGGCAGGCAGGGAAACAGCGCAGCGGAGGGAACTGCCTTGACTCCTGTTCTAATCCTGCAAGAGGGCTTCCACAAGGCCCTCTTTATTCAACAACCCGTCCCAAAGACAGGGTTGCGAGGTTCCCATAGCTCTGATGATATCGCTATGTAAATGTGTGGCCTCGGAAAAGGCTTTGATCTACCTCGATGCATATGCAATAAGTCCCCCCCCCCCCCACACTTTTAAAGGCCTCCTCTTTAATTTACATCATCACGGCGCCTATTCAAAAGCCCACAATATAGCCTCATCATCTCCCAGGTTAGCATACATATCCATACGGCTTATTTGTTTGGACCGTCTCTGTCGGAGCTGTGCTGATCCTCGTCTAGGGAAAGAGGGGAGAAAAAGATGCAGAGCTTGGAGCAGATGAGTTCTGGTGACGGTTTGTTTTGGAGCTGTGCGCGCCTCCATCTGCATCAATTTAAATCCATGACCTCTCTGACTGTCATCCTCTCAAATCGCCCTCATCTCCTCCTCCACCTCCGCTAAGTCTTGGCACATGCAACCGTACATTGAGCATAAGGAGAAAATTACTCTGGCTGCGTTCCAATTGCTATTTTCCAAACTATATATTCCTGCTTTGCACCCCTCAAGGCAGCGGCCAAGAAGAAAAAAGGATGCAACTCCTATTTCTCTCTGTGAACAGATTGCTTGTTGCTGAAGGCAATATGTACCATCATATTAGAATATAACCTCTGTATTCGCATGCCGAAGGGGCTTCCTACAGGACATGTGGATGATTCTTGCAGATGTTCAGACAGCAGGTGGAAGGGGAGAGAAAAAAACAGTGAGAGACAATGAAAGAAAATCTATCTGCTTGCAGAGGAAGGTGTTTTGTTAAATTAGAAAAAAAAGCATTTTGTTTGGCTGAATATGTCCGAAATTATGGTCATATTTCTGAGGGTGAAACTAAAAGCTGTAGTTCAAACGCCCGGATGGATTATGTAGAAAGATTATGGAACACGCTACGGGTGTATAGTAAAGTGAGGAATATACATATATGCATCCATACATTTTTCATCATCTATCTGCTCGCCACATTCAGCTTTCCAGCGTGAATTGGAGATAAACGTACAGACGCTGTTAGGCAACAGATCTCCACCAGAGAAAAACACGGCAATAATCCACACGATTACTTCCTCTCCTTTGCCACAATAATAGCTGTTACGGCTACGAGTAAATTGGGCTTTTCTTTTCTTGAACTCCCCCCCCGGGGATGGAAATAGTCTATCAGCTGTTCCACTTCAGTGAGGGACAGGGCTGATTTCAAGACAAGGCTATTACCATAGAGAGCCCGATCTGGATCTGACCCCCCCAATCTAATACTCTGTTTCTATAAACATTTATGCCAGTTCATCTTCTGCTGAGTTTCCCTTAATTGAGGCAAATGATCTGAATATGTAAGACTGGGCTGGCCAGTGTTTTACGAGCTGTGGTAGACGGGTAAAGTGGAAAAATGAAGCAAATTACAGCTGCTGTAATCCTCGCTCAGTCTCTTTCTCCTTCCTTTAACATTCATATTGTTGTTTATCTCTTGTTAACAGTTTGTGTCTGCTGTGAAAAGAGACCTCCCAAACAACCTTTGAAATTGGATGATGGGTTTGACGTGAGCACAACCGCTCGACGCGTTCGTGTTTCTTTCATCAAACGTCTGTCTTGTGTCAGTTTGCGCCGCGCTGGTTTTTCTATGAACTCAGTTAAAGCGCCTGAATTGACATGTTTAGACAGATCAGGTGAGGAAAAGTCAAGTTATGCATGAAAACGATCATGTTGCCAAAGATCTCTGGTACATTGTATTCTATCACGGATGCGCGGCTGGTCAAGAGCAGTAAAACAGTGCTGTGTTTCTTTAGGAGCTACACAACGATTGCTACCGATATCAAGACAATCTTAACATCATTTTGAGACAATTCTCTTCATTTTTTACACTCCATTTGTGTTCTTTGCCACAGTTTGTTTGGTGGCACCTGAAAGCAGCGCCCTGATTCCGTTTGACCAAATCGTTTGCGATATCAGCCTAAACACCACGTCGTGTGTAACATCTGCATGTACGACGGTTAAAAGTAGCAGACAATCAGATGTATAAAGCTGGAGTGGGGTTTTACTCCAAGAACAATCAGATGGACAAAGACACACTGTCCTTTCCTAAAGGAAGTAACTGGACTGTGCTTCTTGCACTCACTCACTTGTTACTACAGTAACATTTAGGAATGTGAGGACTGACTGAGGAAATAATGCTTGCCAAGCATTTCATAGTACCTTTCACATGCACATAGCGAGAAAACTGATTTTATTTACCCTGGCTTTTTTTTTTTATGAGCTGCTGCCACCCACACACAAATGCTAATAGCACAATAGCACTTTTGCACAGGTAAAGGGAGACCCATCACCTCATCATTCCCATCAACTCCTACTCCCATCCCAGCTATGACCCCCGCAGAAACATTGTTTAGGCTCCGTTTAGATGTACTCTTAACAGGCCTGAATGGTAGCAGGATGCAGCCCTCAGTGGGGGGCCAACCGTGAGAGTGCAGCGTGAGTGGGCCCCTCTCCAACGTGTGAGTGCCCTCTGCTGGCGACGAGCGCGCACCGCAGCTGAGTGGAGGAGACCTCAGCACAGCGCCGCTCTCCTCCTGACCGCTGGCAGGTCCAGTGCAGCCGTCCCCTGCGCTGGACTGCCTCTCGTGTCACCTTTTTTTTAATTTTTTTTGTTCATGCACATGAGGGGGTGGAGCAACGTGGACGGCACGTGGACGGCATATGAGAAAACCAACAAAATGCCATTGCAGATAATCCAATATGCATGATTAGGTCCATCCATATAAAAACATATTATGTCCATATATATTTGGCCCTCAAACTGAAGAACCTGAGAACCAACCTATTTTTATGTCAGGACAGTGACCTCCTCTGGTTAAAGTATCTAAATGCTCTCGTTCTCTATGACCACGTCTCATTCTTTGGTCCAAACTGAAGAGCATCGGCTAATTCATGGTCAAATGGTTAGAAAAAAAAAAAAGTACTATTCTCCACAAACAAAGATTCCCAGCAGTGCAGACGTAATGTTGCCACGTGATATTATCCGTTAAGTTGTTTACACGCGTCTCCCTCTTCATTCACCTCTGGATTTCACAACGGGAATACGCTTTTTACACTCCCTCTTTGTCCGTTGTTCTCTGTCTCTCTGTCTCCCTCTATCTCCTGTTCTCTTTCTACGTCCCCCATCCCTGCAGTCCTTCCTCTCAGCTCACGTCCCTCTCAAACCGTCCTTCCCTCCTCCCAGTGAGCTGTCAGAGATCCTCACATCGCCTCCCCGAGTGTGAGAGAGGGAGAGAGAGAGAGAGAGAGAGCTTCTGATTTTGACATTTTGAGTGATTTGAGGTTGAATGCTTGAGCACATCCTGTTGTCCAAGGCAAAGCTGTAAACCACTAATTGTTGAGTCAAGGTTTTTTGTCAAGCAGGCACTAGGCACAACAATCAACACACCGGCTGGAGGATTTCGTCGTGTATGCGTGTGTCTGTGCACATGTGTTCAAACAGGTGGGGCGCTATGATGGTATTGAAAGAAAAGAAGAAGAAAAAAAAAAAGAAAAGAAAAGAAAAATAAGAGTGGCATCTGAAATGCCTACAGTAGAAAGGAACACAATGATTCTTTGCGCGAGAGGAAGCAGTGGCATGCACTCGCACACAAAGGGGAACAAGTGGTCTTTACATGGAGTGCAGCTGCTTATTAAGACTCACTCCTTCGTGCATTATTCCTTTCATCCCCACTCAACCACAAAGTGATTTTACTTTGCCACTCACAAAGACAGCTAAAGATTTCTAATGGACAAATCAGTCGCTTCCCCACGAGTTATAATACAATAAACAGCACATTCTATGAAAGTATCTGACTGAAAACACTGTGTGGGAGAGAGCAAGGAGGAGAGTGGGAAAATAAAGAATATGAAAGACCTCAATTCTCTCCAACGCCATAATAGTGAAATGAACACATATAAATGTGTTAAGAGTATCTCTTTGCATCTTGTAAAGACTGCATGTATTTAATCTGTAAAGCTTATTAAGGCCCGAGTCATTGCTATGCAAAGCAGCACCCAGTGCTTTTCTCTCGCTTTTCAGCCGAGTGCAGTGTTTGGCCAATAGGACTGGCCCCCCGCCTCTCATTCTGCATTCATAACATGCAACATTTGCACAATGTATCTCTCAAAGGCCCTGAATAGAAGGCCTTAATACTCATGTAAACAACTGCAAACCAATTACTTAATGAATCGGGCCCACACATAATGAGGAGCCTCACAAAGGGCTATAAATGCATTTTTTGCACCAAAGCCTCTGCTTTAAACTACAATCCCTCTGCTGTAGTCCAGGCTTAACGGGCAAATCATAATTATTGTCTAAGACAACAGAGAGGAAGCCATTTCTGTATTTTCCAGCCGAGCTCCATCCATCCTTTTGATGTCACTCATCAGCTCGCTGACAAAATAAAGCAAATAATTAACAAGTAGGGTGTGTGTGTCGGGCGGGTTGGCTGGGGGGGGGTGGAGGGTTAGCAGGGGTGGGTGGTGGAGGAAAAGGATAACACGGGAAAAGACACAGAGGGGCGAATCGATGGAGAAGGGGCAAAGCGAGAGAGGAGAGCACGCTGCAGTGCAACGCTTCTGCTCAAACGCTTCCAGACCACTCGTGGATGCAGCAAGGCGCAAGAAGTGACTGCAGTAAGTGGAACGCTTCAATCGGAGCATCCAGCAGGAAGCACAGAAAACACGCGGCGCAAATCGTCTCACGACCAATCAAAGGATTATGGTCGCCGCCCGAGTCCTAATCAGAGTGAGATTAACGCGTTTAGAACCCGTGCATCCAGTTCTGCAAAACCGGTGTCTCATCACAGCACACGTCATTCTCTGCAGCTGTCATTTTTTTCGGGGGGGGTTCCGCAAATTGTGTTTAATCAAATATAGCGCGGGCATTCCACGCGCATTTAACGGCAGCAGGACGGGCGCCACCTGAGAGGGTCTGGTGCTGAAATTGACTCATGTTTATTAAAGAGCGTGGTCACTGGGGCTGGCGGTGGCAGACATCAGCAGCCACGAGGGCCACAATAGAGCCAGCCCCATTAGGCCCTTCCCCCGGGCTAATGGGCAGACTGGGAGCGCCTGCTTGCCAGGCCAGGGAGATACAGACATCAGCCCTTGTGTCAGCGTGGTGCCCGGTAATCACATGAAATCAGAGAAGATTATTCCTCATAACGTTTACCCAGCCATTACCGCAGCCCGGATGGGTTCGCGGTGAAGAGGTGCTCCGAGGACCCGACACGCAATCGCAGATTTGATGAAGTCGCGTTGATATTCAAATGTAGCCGCCGCCACGCTAGCTCCCACAGAGCTATTTATCATCTTCTTTTCCAAAAAAACCCACTCAGGGCTCTGATTTGAGAAGCCTTAAATGCAGTTCGAGGACGGGGACGTTTGTCCTCGTCAACACTCGAGTCTCCTTATTGCGAAACAGTCGCGCCTAAATCTCGCCTTCTGACGACAACAGTGAGATTATGACTCCGGTTTATTTTCCGCGGTGGGCGTTTTTTTGGGGGGGGGGTTTTGATTTCTGAAACCCGGCTGACGCCAGCAAACAGTGAGTGAGAGGGGCTTTAGGGGCCTTTTGTCTTTGTAAGCGAGTTAATGGGTGGCGCCCCCTTGATCTTATGGAAATGAACAGGGAATTATGAGAGCGGCCATGCAAATGTACACCAACCACTTTGGTGTCTGGTGGCCCATTTCCTGTGGCCCGTTGAATAATAACAATGTTCTTACCGAGGGTAAGGGTCTTGATGTGAGGAGCGTTTGGCCCTCCCCAGATCCTCTTCATGGCCATGATTTATTCCTTAAAAAGAGCAAACAGGGCCAGATAAAAACATTTGATTGGGACGTCTCATCACAAGCTAATCTGCAATGCATATCAACAGAGATTTATGGTAAAGCTAACGAGGGCTAAAGTCCGTCATGGCTACAAATTGGATTGGGAGCAGAAACAACGAAGGTGGAAAAAGCAGGACTGATGTCTTTTAGCTTACATATACGGACAGAAACAATGTGTTCCTGCTGTGATGTGAGAACATATGGCCAGTGTTGACCGATGGTTGGGCTCCCGTTGCTCGCTAGTTGCCTTGTAGAGTGGTTCGCATCCCTTACCTGAGAGGCCATCCCCCTCCTCCTCCTCCTCCTCCTCCTCCTCCTCCTCCTCCTCCTCCTCATCCTCATCCCCCTCCTCTTCAGAACTCTGCAGCATTTCCTGCATGGCTGATTGTTTAAGTAACCGATAAGCTTTTGTCTCTGTTCAGGGACACACACACACACACACACACACACACACACACACAGGAGAAGAAAAAAAAAAGTCACTGGCAAATATTTGCTTAAAACCCAGGTTTCCAACTTTCAGAGGCTTCAGTGTTTGATGAGACAACACGCTTCAGTAGCCGAGTCTTTTGGTGTCACTGCCGAACGCAGAGAGAGGGGGGAAAACACTGTGCTCAATCAGCTCAGCGGTTGATTCTAGCCAACAGTATGTAGCAACAGTTTCCATGAGACGGCAATCAGCATCTCACATTATCTCAGCGTCCCCTACCAGGAAGGCAATGATTGATTTTCTGTTTTAAAAACACTCATAATTACTTCCCGGCACACTAAAGTAGGTATCACACTCGAGAGGAGCAAAGAGACAGCAAAATAAAAAAAACTAAAAAAAACTGAGCAGAAGTACATAATAAATGGGACCGTTGACTCGACGATGTCGCTGAAAGACACGTACTAAATCAAAAGGAGAATTGTGCTCTTGAATGACCAAATCCTAACATGCTTTGGTTGGTTTCGTAGTAAGGGGGCCATTTTCAGTCAAGTTGTCAGAAAACATGATATTTTAAGTGCTGTTCCACCCACAGCGCGTTATACAGGCATTGCTTTTACATGAAGTCACGGGGGAAAAAAAAAATACATTACATGCATGCATCTGCAATTACTATCGTTCCAAGGTCATGGTATTTGATTGTGACATTGATGTCGCTCACTGCAGCAAACCTTCTCCCTCGCAAAAAAAAAAGAAATCTTTTGTCACTCTTTCTTTTTTTTTTTAATGGCGATGGCTCTTTTGATTAAGGGCAGTGATTGGAAACTGGACTCCTGTTGCTGGCTGTGCACCGTCGGGACGCGGGCACATGAAACGCCCCGTAGGAAACCGGAGCGCCATGGGTAATACCGGCTCGCTTTACATTTCAGAGGTGCGGCTTTAGGGACAGCTGCTTGCAGGATGCCTTCACATCTAGTATTTTTTCAAGTCTAGCCCTTCCAGAGCATTGTTTAGAAGATAATGAGAACCCCTGACAGATCTCTTTTTGCTCCCCACCCCGCCGTCCTGACAATTAAAGCCGCCGCATTATGCCGGGCCGGCGAATTATCAACTTTTTTCCCGGAATGCCTCGGGCCGGGCTGAAAACGTAGCTAGTGTTTTCTCGGAGATAATTAGAGAGAACTAGCCCGGCCCTTCAGGTGGTACTTTGACCCCGGATTCACCTTGATCATCCTGCCTCAGCCATTGTGTAAAAGAGCCCATTATTCACTGCAGTGGGAAGAAAACAAACCACAACATAAGGACAGTGTGAACGCTGGGGCACCGGCGATGCCTTTTTACCTCTAATAGGAACACTTTCCACAGGGCTTTCGTCCTGGCTGTCCTCTTCACTACTTTGTAGTTCTGCAAGAAAGGGAAGCGCATAGTGAGAAGCAGTGGCAGGGAGGACGGGAGTCTCGGAATAGCAATGGGAATGTGGGGGGTGGATGGGGGGCTCTTTCTTTTGCTCTGAATAGAAGCCTGTAGGAAAACTGGGCCGGGAGGGATTAATAATAAAAATTTAAAAAAAGCTCTGTGGTGAAATTGATTTCTTTCATAAAAGCAAAGTTTTAGTTCTCTGCAGAGGTAAAAAAAAAAAAAAATACTAGCAGCAGCCTACACTTGTTACTGTTAATGGTTTTGTTTCATATGACTGTGGAAAGATGGACATGTGAGATGTTTTGGACATTTGTGCGATTTCATAGCAAGTGTGTCAAACCGCTTGCTGAGGGGACAGTTAGTATCTAAATAAGCATGAATGGTGAGAAACTAACAATCTTCAATAACCTTGGATGTGCTGCTTCCGTGCCGGCCGGCCGGGCTTCACCTCACCGTCAGCCAGGAGAGGAGGAGGACCACACGAAGAAGACAAGTCACTCTCGTCCCCCGCTGAGGGGCACTCCTCACTGGACCGGGACACGAGTGTCCTCAGCAGCACTTTGGCCTGTGAGCGGCACAAATTAAAAGCACACTCTTAATTGCTCCCGTTTTGAGAAGGAAGTGTCAAATTGAACTCTCGCCGATTAGGCAAGTCATTTACTTTGGCCACGGCTGCTCGCACAGAGGTGCAGCCGCGGCGCCGCTTCGGAACGCCGGCAGAAAATAACTTCAAATTCTCTCAATCAAAAAAAAAAAAAAAAGAAGAAAAAAAAGGTTATTTCGCACACATTCGCTCTCACTCTCAATCAAATGCTTTTTTTTCTCCCCCCTCTCCCTCTCTTGTCATCCATGAGATTAGAGAAGCGCCTAAAGAATGCAATCACGCTGGCGTTAATGTGCAACACGTTCCAGATAGCTTCCCTCTTGGCTGCGAGAATTGAGACAAACTGCTCTCTTCCTCCCTCTCCAGCTCATTTTTTTTTATCTCTGGGGAGATGAGGATACACAATTAAGATGAGCTGTTCTGGGAGATGAGGACCAGGGAGACGCCACACACACACTGAATTCCTTTCTCTCCCTTTTTCCCTCCCCCATATCAAATCCTGCCATCATCATCTCCCTTTCGTGATCAAAGACTGCCTCTCAGCCTCAGATGGCCATTGGCAACTTTTAATGAGCACTAATAGGCAGGGGATGATCAGGAGGATTTTGACAGTGGCAAACTTTAAGTACGTTGTAAGTTGTTATCAGTAGGTCGCAGCGAAGACTCACAATGTACATGCTTTCATTTTTGCTTGAGAGGCAAACACATGCCAATCTGGGCTTGCCACTTGGTATTTGATGCTGCAGCACAAAAAAAACTATCTCGATCCTTGTCCCAGATATCGGTCTTTGTTCTTTTAAAAATTTTTTTTAGATTTAGTCAAATGTACCGTAGGTTGAGGGCTTTTGCGGACGCAGTGCATTTTAAATATCAATGAATGCAACTGTTAGCACTTGAATATTCAATGGGTCTCTTTGAGTGTGTGCATGCGAGCTGCATGCTCCCATTTGTCGGGGTGGCCAGGCTGTGTGGCATTGCGTGAATGGAAATTTCTGTTTGCTCTTGTGAAAGGGGAGTAAGCTGTTGTGTGTGTGTCTGTGTGTGGGGGGGGAGGGGGGTGGACGGGGACGGAGAGATGGAGAGATGGAGAAATAGAGGCAGGGACAGAGAAATAGATGGATTGAGAGAGATAGAGGGGGGGGGGGGAGATTTTCACTCAGGCTTCTCCCGATGCACTTGATGATGTAGATGGCCGTGTCTCTGTTCCTTTTGTTGGTTCATATTTTCAAGTGGCTCTACAGTCTCCCTCTTTGCGCCGCTGACACTGGAGCAGGACCCCAAGCCACGAGAATGAGTCCGCAGGAAAATAATAAACGTTAAAATCAGCATGTGTATATGAATATGCCCTGCAGATAGAATGGAACACAAAAAAAAAAAAAAAAAAAAAAGAAACTTTAAAAAAACCAAATGGTATTCCTTCCAAATCTCTTGACATTATATTTGGGTTCGACTATGAATTGCAATTTGTTTCCTTGTTCAATTGAACCGCACAAGGTCAACGAGAGGGAAATAAAAAATAATCTTGTCCTTTGTGGAGAGGATCCCAATGGCTCCCTCATTCAATCGGACCCAGCTGATGGCCATATACTTTTGGCTAATGCCAAATTAAAAGCAAGTGTTTCTCACATGAATACGCCACGTGAGATGAAAGAAGCCAAGCAGAGGCTGTAATTTGCGATTAGCGCATGGGTCAGGGTCTCCCTTCTGTCTAGGGTCAACGTGTGGAGCAATCTGATGAGTCGGCAGCCGGGGCTTGGTTTCAAACACGGGGACACAAAGAGCGCACTCGGTACCAACTACGGCGCTCTTTAAAAACGATAAAATAAAAGAAAACATGCATGGAAACAAAAAAGCCCTTTTTGGAGAAGAGAGGGAGGGGGGGGAGGAGGAGGCCTGCCACTGCAGTCATATATGTGTGTGTGTTTCAGCAAATGCAAGCGTGTGACCTCCTGTTTGTGCGGCGGCGGTGTGCGTGCCTCCGACGCTACCTGGTGGCTGTAGGTGGCATGGCGCTCCAGCAGCAGCGGCGTGAACAGCTGGACCAGGCGCTCGGTGCTGAGGACACGGCGCTCCTTCAGCAGAAGGGCGTGCTTGAACCAGCGATCCCACAGCCGAGCGGCGTCGGGAGGGAGGCTGGCGCTGTGGCGAGGGCGGGCGCGTTGGGTTAGAGAAAGAGAGGCGGCCTCGCTGAACACACGGCGTGACATCTGTAAATAAGTTACAACTTGCGCCTCCTTACGACGAGGGACGCTTTGATTATCGGGGGGAAGTGGAGACGCCTCACAGATCATATTATACATTTGTCTCAATGTGTATATTCCTTTTCATTAGGCTTTTTCAAAAGGCCGCACGCTCGTCCGTCTTTCCACTTCAGAAGATTTAGAAAATGAATGGTGGTTAAACACTAAATAGACGCACAGCAATACAGCACCTGGTTGAAAACTAGATAAAAAGAAGGTCAAAGAGCCAGGATGCGTCCACACACTGCTGGATGTGCTTCTTTGGATGGAGTGCGGAGCTGGGAAGGTCTCCGTCAAATCAATAGAGCAGTGAAGCAGAGCATGGATAACTACTCATTACCCAAAGGACTGGAAGTCACAGATAGGCGTTTTAATTTACTCATGACATTCACCCGTGTGCTGTTAACGCAGGAGGTGACGCCAAAGATGACCTTTACATTTGTGGACGGCGGAGACTGTGTGAAATCGTAGCGGTGAGATCTCAGACACTGTTGTGAGTGAGGGTGGGTCCCGGTTCCAGAAAAGAAATGATATCTATATATATTGTGAAATGTATGTGAGAGATGTCTGGAGAGTGGAATTCAGGTTTACTGGAAGTCTGGTCTCTATGAAGAGAAAGGTTTGTTGAATCCTGTAGCTCTCAGAGCAATTGCGATTTTGTGCTCTTGATTACTCCGTTATGAGATAACGTCAGTCTACACAAAACGCACAATGTTGTATGCTGACTTTTACTTCATCTCTATCTTTTGTCTTGGCGTCGCAGAGGTTGCAGTTAGACAAAGAGTTTTATTAAGCAGTAAAAAAATAGTCAGTTTGGGGTTCAAAGAAACCAGGCGGCCTTACCTTATTTCACGAGGCTCAGTGCTGGACTGCTGAGCCCCCACTAGATCCTCTGGTAGCAGGCAGCCCTTCGCCGTGCTCCATGACAACCTCTGAAGCCCATGAAGGACGACTGCTCCACATGCTTCAAGGTCCTCGTCATTCAAGGCCGCTCCGCGGTTACAAAGGCTGGCCAATACATAGAGAGCAGTCAGCTATTGCCATGGAGCTCTGGGCTCAGGCGGGTCAGGGGCACATGGAGTACATCCAGCAGCTGCTCACACTTCACACACACACACAAGTATGATCATACACACACCAATGCACATGCACACTTGTATCACATAATATCACAGCAAGACTCAACATTAGTCCGAGGGTCACGGCAGAAGATGGCCACGCTCTCCACTGGTGAAGGTTCTGTGGGCATCATTTACGGCACTTGTGCTTGCATAGAAATGCGATATGTGTAAAGTGAGTTTGAAAAAGGAAAAGCGGAGCTTTCATTTTTCCAGTCATTTATCCGTACTTTACTACAAGAACCCCAATTATGGTGAATTAATCATGCTGTAAAATATAAAAGGCTTATGAAAAATAAGCCCAGTTTAATGAAACACATTCTCCATCCTTCATCTCCCTGACTCCCAATAACAATTCAACATGGCGGTTACTAGAACAATTCCCGCGCGTTTGAAAACCCCCTCAGAAATAAAGACGTGTGCATGTTGGTGATGACACTTCATCTAAAGTGAGAGCCCTTGGCAGAAGGATAATATGTTTTCCCCGTCTGCACAAACTGCCACACGGCCCTTAAATAAACACACGCAGCGCTACACGTTCCATTTAGCGGGGAGAGATAAGATTGTAAAACGTAGGAGGAAAAACAGGAAGCGCGTACCTGATAATTCTATTGAGCTGCCTCCCGCCAATCGAAGCCTCGGCGTACACGCCGGTCCGCTCGCCACCGAGTCGTCCTTCGATGTTGTCCAGCAGACGAAAGAATCCTTCCTGGGAGAGACTAAATACATGTTGCCCATTAACGCGTTGAAAGGGAACACAGATGGGAGGCCAAGTGATCGATTACCCGGCTCTTTGAGGTTGAAAAAAAAAAAAAAAAGGATTCAATTTGATCTGAACAATCGGTGATGCGTTTTTCCAGGCAATTTCCTTGAGGTACAGTACTCAAGGACTGGTTGGAGGAATCGGACCTTAAGAATGGTACCGTCACACAACAGGTCTAAAACTAATCGATGGTGCCACATGTAGCTGCGTGCGGTTGAAGTGCAACTTTTGACAGCTTAACGGCCGACAAAACATGTAATGAAAACAAAATATATCACAAACTATGTAACACCCCCACCAATCGAAAAGAAAAGGTTCCAAAGAAATGGGGGGGGGGGGGCGCTCAAAATGCACTTTAGGTTAGAGATTTACACTCTAATCTGGTCCTGTGTGAGGCTGCAAACTGAGAAATGGATGCCCAGTGCATGTGGATATTGGGAATTCATCTCTTTCTTGCGCATTAAGCTCTGGGTGGCCCTCATTCAACTCTCCCATAAAACCCCGGAGCCGAGAGATCCTGAGCCCCCCTACATAAAAGGGGCCAAAAAGAATTTATGACAATCTGTAATGGGCTCCCGGGTTAAGGGTCAGCAAACAATTGCTCCCTCTTTTTTGCAGGTTGTTTCCTGGTAACATCCTGATTAAGCTGGCAGCTTGAATAATATCCATGACATTCTGTAGTGTGCAATCCGTCCGTGCTAAGTCCTCTTCAGTGAGACTGAAGTAGCATAGGCAGAAGCTTACATCTGTTTTTTTTTTCTTCTCCTCTCCCTTATCACCAGCATTGGCCTTGAAATATTCATCTCTCTCTTTCCACTTTATTTGTCAACGCTCTTCAAAAAAAAAAAGAGACCTCTGGAGAGGGAGAAAGTGAATTAGTTTGTGTTTTTCTGCAAAAACACTCTCTCTTTCATTGTGTCGTCGCCAGCTTTCATGTCAAGGTCCCGAACCTCACTCACTAGACGGCTGCCGTTTGTCTGTGAGTCGACATCATCAGCGGCGCGTTGTTAGCCGGGAGGAAGAGGTCAGCCTCTCTGCGGCGATACTGGTCTGCGGTGTACTGTACTGGCTCTGGTGTGATTTGCCACACCGAATGCTCTCATTATTGTGTGATTGGTGTCAAAAAGATCTCCCCTCGCTGGCTCAGGCGGCAGATATGGCACAAAGGAAACGAAAAAATACCACCAGTGAGAACGCTTTGAGTGCAGGGGTATGTCCCGCCACACTGTGAGGACACCGCTTGCAAAGTACTCTGCAGCAAAGTCTTCACAGAGACTAAAAACTGCAGAATCCCTAAAAAAATTGTTTAGTAATGTAAGTTTCAAGCCTATATGGCTCACATTCCATCTGCAGACATAAACCGGATTTCTCCCCTTTTTTTGTACGGCGCTCTGCCGCCAACGAGGCAGAACCGTCCTGCAGTTCAGGGACGACAGATTTGAGAGCAGGACACAGCGGGGCCATTATGATGAGTCTGGAAGAAGAAGAAAAAAAAAAACCTGGAGGACATTTCAGTCATGTACCCTCACTCACCCCGACCATGCTGGAGGAGAAATATAATGGGATAATCTAATGAATTGCCGAGGCTTGTTTTTCCTGACTGTGCGCTGAATGGAGAGAGCGCTACCAACTCTAACCTTAAGAGAGAGAGAGAGAGAGAGCGGATAGATGCTCTCTGAGCTTTACATCAAAGCCTCTGGTTTTCGCCTTACACACACACACACACACACACACACACACACACACACACACACACACACACACACACACACAAGCCCTTCGTGTTAACAATGAAAGCTGCAGCCCCCACCATCGGCTCCCCGGTGCAGGCTAACTGCAGCTCCTCTTGAGGTCACGCTATGAACAGTATAGCGGACCACACACAGAAATGCATGCGATGAACACGCTGAACACGCGCAGTGGAAAATAAAGTCCCACTAATTTTTGAACATGTCCTCACAACGCACTTGAAAAATGTGTTTCTTTTGAATAGAATTATTGTGAGAATGCTGGGTACATAGGCGAAAAATATTATTTTTTTTTAGCAGTAAACAAACATAATGTACATACATGTACAAGGCCGTACAATAGCAAATAAATGAGCCACCGTCCCTGAGGATAACGAAAAGGAACAAATATGCTTAACAAAGGGATGTTTTCTCTGCTTTTTCGAGGACATCAGAGGTCCTGTTCATGAAATACTATATATTCTAGGGAATGTGCAGGAGCTCTGGGCACAAACATTGACACAGGATTTTCTGTGGTTCTAACCCCATCCAAAATTATCCTTCAATTCAGAGGCCATCATTCCGCTAAGGATTTGTGGCTGTAAGTGCTGTCCACATGCCCACCCTCCAGAACACTCTATGGTGCCACAAATTTCCTCCTCCATTGGGGACTTCCTGAGGTCTCTCAAGCAGAAAATTGCTCTGTTACGGCATTATCTTGGATTATGGCAATATTGTCGGTGACAGGTCCTGAGCTCTCCCTGTAAGATGCATCACTGCCAGCGCCGCCGCTGCCTCTGAGCCACAGCGAGCACGGACCGTGACTCCCACAATCCCCTCTGTCAGCTCCTGATGTGATGGCGGCGAGGACCGCGCGCTCATCTTCGCTAACAGCCCTCTGTGGTTCAGCGCGGCTGTGCAGAACATCCGCCTTTCTCGGCTCGCCTAACTTTAAATCTCACGGGGCTGAGGAGAGAAACGCCGGCTGCACGGCGCAGCCCTCTGGAGAAGTGTGGCGCCACAAGGCCGTTTGTTTGTTAGTTACTTCCAGGCGACAACGTACAGAAGCCAACACATGCTGTACCTTTCCGATGTCCCCGCCGGAGCCGAGGATTCGCGGTTTAACTGTGGCGTGTGCTCAGAGCTGTCAGACTGGAGGGGAGATTCAGGACGGCGCCGCCGATTGTGATCGTCGCTCGCTCCCGACGGAGTGGCACTCGTCTCGGGGGCCACACCCTCCGGCGGATCCTCTTCCAGCTCAGATTGTGTCAGCGAAATGGACAGGTCACTAACAGGGCTCTCTGACAACGGCACACCGGAGCTCAGGGTGCCGACGCTCTCGCGTCTGCCTGAATGTTAACACGATTCAATATTTGAGCAACGCCGGTATAAAAAAAAAGACATTTCAAAGTAATTGGCAAGTAACAGCGGCGCCAACCTGGTACATCCCGAGCTCCTGTTCCAAAAGCGGTTGGAGGCATGAAATGGCCGCGACCCGGCTCTCCGCCTTCCATTACGGGGGGCTGATGAGTCACCTCTCGGGAATCACTGTGTTCTGCAGGGGAACGCTCAGCTTTCGGTCTAACGCTGCCGGGAGACGGGCTCTTCTCGGGCCGCGCCAGGGTCACCGGAGGTGACCCTTCCTGTTCACCATCACTCCCGAAAGGCGCCCGGCCAGGTGCGCCCGTCGAGGCGCAAATGGACGGAACAGACGGAAGCGACGCCGCCGTCGTTCTTTCGTGTTTGTCACTCAAATTGCAGCCGTCGGGGGAATCGTCTGAGCCTGAAATGTCATCTGATAAATGCGCTCGGCTGCCGGCGGCATCCTCCGCGCCAACTCTGAAGTCCTTCAAAAGGCCACTTGGTAGACGTTCACGGGAGTGCATGCTGCGATTGGGTGAACGACGCAATGCTTGGTGTGAGTGTACACTTGTGGTGCCAGCTTCAGCGTCAGACCCTCTGGAGGTCTGGTGGCCCATAAAAATTACCACTGGTGGTTTTGTAAAATCCCCGGCTGGGCGAGAGAGGGGGCTGTCCTGGAACTGCCCAGACGTGGCTTCATCCTGCAAATACGGGGAAAATAATCCATGAAATGTATGAATTTCTTCCAAGACTTGCTGGTTCAATAAGCCTATTTTGCAATAAATTCAACTCAAGTATGTTAACCATCCACTTTGCAAATTTGAATGAGCCTTATTTGGGCCAAGGTCAGAATTCTTTTCACAACATCTTTTAGAAGCACGTCTCAGGATCAGTGTTTTAACTTTTCATCTTATTAGAAATCCTTTGGACAAGTTTCGATTCATGTCTGCAATGTCACCAAGGGGGGGGGCAAAAAAGCCTCCCTCCAAACATAATAACAAAAAGCAAGGCTTCTGTTTCTTTTCTGATAAGGGTCTTAAATACCAAACAGTTAGCTGCTTAATAACATTCACTGTAAACCATGCAGCCTGCCCAGCAGATCCACAAAGTAGGTAAAAAAAAATTTAAAAAAAGAGGAAAAGTTAATTTCTTGGCTGAGTGATTCCATCGGTAGCTGCAGGGCAAAGTAGAAAGTGTTTCACTAAAGTAGCAATTGATTCTTCTATCAATCTGCGGCACGCGTGTGCTCTTCCAAGGAATGTATTAAATATGAAAATCATATCCCGTTATCATCTGTCTCCAGCTTTCAGCCCGGTAAGCTTCCCTTAATGAATGCTGCAGCCTGAGGGACATGCACACTGCCAGCCAATGGCTTGTATGCATAATGGAGTGACGGTACCATTTTGCTCATTACAATATCGACAGGCTGACGGGGGTTTTGCACACAGTTACAAGTGACTGCTCTAGACAGCATGCTCCAAGTTATTATGAGATGTCTTAGACATTTCATCTAAAAGAGCTTTAACTGCTTTAAGTGAAGGGAGAAAGCAGCTATGGACTTGAACTACATCGCTTGTACAGATGCACCAGCTGGGATTAGACACCTGCGCTATTACAGATACACAGTTTAAATGTAGAGACTCCTCGACAGATTTAGCAGGCATAATGTCTACTTGCCTTTGTTACTCCACAGCTGAAAACATAGCTCGATTTAACTGAGATTTGCATAAACCATATAAACATGTCAAAATAAGAAGGATCCAACATTTAACAGAAAAAAGAAAGTTCTATTTTTCGACCATGAAAAGTATTTGTCAAAATACACACTCTCACAACACAGGCCACACAATACAGAAGATTTGACCCGCACGATGTACAAAATATGACGCGTCCAATCATGAATGCTATTCTTATTACCATACTAATAGTTTGTCTTTAATATATTTGCATTACCTTATCTGCATTAAGCCCCTTCGTCACATTCTTCTTTGCTTCCGTAAATCTGGAAATCTTTTTCAAAACGTCAGCCTGTAAGAGACGTAAAGACAGAACGATAAAGAGATAAGAGTAAGATAAGAGAAGCAAAATGACAGAAAGATAGACGTGATATTTAACTGACGTGTGACAGGCAAACTCACTCTTCATGCAAATACCTTGTTACAATGCTGCGATTATGTTGTGGCATATTATCTGCATGTGGTGTAAAGGAGTATGAAAGCAGAAGGTGACAGCATCGAGCATCAGTCAATCACAACGAGTTCTCTCAAGTGAGCGTCCTCTGTGTAGCCGCTGACACCCTTTAACATTTATCTGACCGGCCAGAGACTAAATTTACCGCCTTAATCCCGACTCCAATTAAAAAAACCTAATGGCCATTTGAAGGGCACTTGGATTAGCTCAAACGTGGCCGACCGTTTCATCAAAACAACGGCAGTTTGCAGCAGCGGACAATTTGAAAAGGCAGCTTTGGTGAATTTGCATTCGCCCACTCTTGTTTTTAAATGTTAACCAACTCTAACAAACATTGTGCGCCTTCACTCACTCACTCACTCAAAATCCATTTGAGGACTTGTGTTTTTTATTACATTGCCACAAAATTCAAGGTGACAAAAAGGCAACAGCACCACCAAAATAACCACTAACATGTAGGACTCATAAAGCATCAAGAGGAAATAAACCAACTGCTTGAGGGGAGAGAATGTCTAAACCTCTGCAGCACTTCAGAGTCTCTATATTGGGCAATTAACTCGGCGAGTCATAATTAGCCAATTTTGTTAATTTGATATTAAGCTGTCAAGCACTGTCGTTGAGTTTTAAGTGATAATCTCACTGGCTCATTGTTTTCTCCCTCGTTTATTTGCCTGTTGTGATAAATTGCACAGTTTGAGTGTTTACTGTTGTCACATGAAGCAATTGCAAGCAAATATTACTACCCTGTGATAAATGACAGCACGGCATTAAGGCAAATATGCATCCAACACGTACTGTAATAATAAATATACATTCCTTAAAAAATGTGATTGTAGGTCTCATGGCAAACACATGTTATTCCGAAAATGTATAAATAATTAAATGTAAGAAAATGATTTCAGAGAAAAGTCAAATTTGATGAACTTGGATTAACCTTGTGGGGAGGGTGTTTGTTCAAATAGCTCTTAATGAAACACCATAATTAGAAAAACTACTCCAATGTGCAAATTAAATTGAGTTTCTGTGTTTGTGTTCGTGTGTGTGTGGGTTACCTTTTGTTGTTGCAGGGGACAATGGTCACGACTGTATTCCTTCATGCTAATTTCTATGCTCTCCACATCTCTCAGAAGCTCAAGGTTTCTCATTTTTGCTCGTGCTCCCCTGTCACAGATTTCCTTGAGATAACTGTGCAGTCTGGAGCGCTTTATCTGTGAGCTGAAGGCGGTGGAGAACTATTATTACAAAGAAATATTATCTTGGAACATTGTCAAAAAATAAGAGCGAAACTTTTCAGAGGAAATAGGTTAAGCACAATGTGTTTTAGAATTAAATCTCATTCTCAACTCTCCTATCGGCTGTTTTGAGCGGGCACATTATTATTTATGAGAATCAATTTACAATGAAAGCAGGCTGTGCAGTTTACATATAAAAAGGTGCAATGTGCTTGTATCACTCGCACACATAGTCAAACACTCTTACTTTCCCTCTCACACACACACACACACACACACACACACACACACACACACACACACACACACACACACTAGTGATGTTGCGTATATTATATTCAGAGCAATATCAGTGCTTGTTTCAAATGCAAAAAGTTCCAATTCATTTATACAGTATACGCATAAAATATATGTATATAAGGGCATTTAGGAAACAAACAAAAAAGGCAAACTGCAGGTCAAACTTTAAGAACAAGGTATGGTTAGAACAATATCTATTTATTGATATACAGTATAACTCACATTCTGTTATCGGATCTGGAGAAGGCAAACAGTTCTCTCTCCAGCTCCAGCCTGCGTCTCTCCCTGCACACATAAACCAGGGGAACCGGCTAATTACTGGTTTATTATCACCTATTCAACGCCACTCACCAACGATGTGCAATGCATATGCTCATATCATGTGTGCATAATACTAGCTAACAGTTCATGCATATGTCAATGTTGATATGCTGCACGAATTAGCTGCGAATGCTAACTCCATAGAAACAAGTGCGAGCCTTTCGGCGGCGGGGGGATGGCTAATATGTGAACGCTAGCGTTTCAGGTCAGCTGTCCACACATCTATACGCGCCGGTTAAAAATCGCGTCTAAAGGAAACACATTGGCCCTGCTTGGCAGGTTAGCTTAAGTAGCTAGCTAGCATGTTCCGTCCTCGTAGGGAAGCGGCGGGAGGAGGCTTCCCGGGCGGCTGAGACCATAACTAGAGTCCGCGGTCCACGTCCGGTCAACGGAAAAGAAGGCCAGCTCACCTTTTATGCATGTTCTGTTGGATCGACGTTATCTTTTCATAATACTTGTCAGCGCCGAGAGCCATGTTCGCCGTCTCCGTCCGCTTTGGCGCTGCTCCGGACCCGAGACGAGGAGAAGGAGGTGGAGGAAGACGGCCGTTGTTTACGTCGGTTACCATGACCACCGCTTCCCAGAATCCCCTGCTGATAAACATAGAGACCACGTGGTGCGAGGACGGTTGAGAGCCCCCCGCCTCCTTCATCCGTACCATCGGTTTATACGTTTAAAAAGTTATTCTTACGTTTTAGTATTAAGTATTCCGTTTACGAAAAAGACGTTGTGCCGCTGTCACAAAAGTAAAAAGGGCAAACAAAAAAAGAAAGGTCGAGACAACGGTTTTGGGTAAGAAAAAACTCGCCCTTTTAGAACATGTGAAACGATATAAGCCTTAACAGTCCTTATAAACGTGTCTTTGTCTACTATGGTTATTTAAATGAAGTATAAATCATACCTTGAGGATTAAATTGGACCACGTGCCACAGAACACCACAATGTTTGCTTACAACAAAATGTCTGCAATATTACAGCTAAATACCAGCCATTAAACGACCGTCTTTATCTCCATTTGACAACCCCCCCCCCCCCTCTAATCAGATACAGATGAACGTCTCATTCACCCAGATGGATGCTGTGTATCACCCCCTGATCTTTTCTTACATTATCAAAGTTCACCACTGACAGTTCTCATAAATGTCATGCGTTTTGACTGCAGCGGTGTGTCATTTCGTCAAAGGGACAAACACTACGGATCCTTGCTGGGATTCAGAACTTGACAGCCCCATCCGAATGCACGCCCTAATCAAGCAATTTCCCCAATTCCAGCCCCATCAAATTGCTCTTTAGCTGTTGAACTTGGGAGTTTTGTTGTCCTTTTCTAATGCTAATAAGCCCCATTCAGCATCTCTCTATGAGGCTATTTGTTGTGAAATAAATCCCCTTGTTTGCCTCCTGCATGTATAATTGATATTGTTGCCGGGCTTTTTGTCTGTGCCGTGTTGAGCTGAAAGGCTGTCCTTTGGAGGTGGCGAAGAAAATGGGGCTTGTAACGCTGCCGTTCCGGCTGAGCTCAGCTGAGGTTGACGCCAGTGATCAACCTTTGTTGAATGTCATACGGCGCATTCGTGATTATTCTCAGCAGATTATGGTTCACAACATAGATGACATTCACCACCACCGTTTACTCACAACGCTCTCCCGTATTCTGTGTCCCAGGCGGAAAACGCATCAAAATGCAATGGACAACATGAGCGAAATTGCTCCAAAAATGAAGACCCTCCAAATAAGGTGCATTCCTAATGGTGAGTATGATTTCAGGCACGTTGCATAGATAAATGCACAGGAAAACAGGCCTCATAAACTCTCCTCTCCTTCTCTTCCGCGGTGTGTTCTTATCTATTCCCTCAACGGCGTTCATTTGAACTCCTTCCCAGTTCAAAAAATAAAGACAGCCCAAAAGGTGCAAAACAGTTTGGATGATAGAGTGTTGCCTTTACGAGTGTTTAACAATAAAAAAAAGAGAAGGTGGCGTGCAAATATTTTTTCCAAATATCGCTGCAGTGAAAATATTATTTTTGCCATTTGTAGTTTTCTGCAGCGTTCCTGCCTGCTGCTCCTCTGAAGACGTACAATGTGTACGGCCATTGATATGCCCTAGCAGAGGTCACAATTTGCATGAGAATTAACAGCTAGTAAATTAAATTGATATTCAGTGCACATCTCCGTTGAATCCTTCAGACCTTTGTTCCGCCTGCCTGGCAGAGCCCACGTTCAGCCCCTAGCTAGTCAGAAACATCTGTGCAGTTAATAATTTGATAAACAGCTTACACAAATGCTAAATTATCTTCTCCGCCCCCCTCCCCTTCTTTTTTCTTCCTCCCCTTGTGTGAGACTTGGAACAGTTGGCTCACCTCTCTGTGGTGTTGGGTTTATCTGTCTTTTGTGGCTGTTCTTCCAGCGCTCTGGGTTTTCATGGCTCTCCCTTCACTCCTTTCACTATCATTTAGATACCAGAGCAGCGTTTGCTGTTAATGCAAATTCCCATCTATGACGAAAGACGGTTTATGAGTCGCCCATTGTGGCGAGTTTGAAATGAACTTTTGTTATTCATTCAGTGAGTTCTGTCTGGGTAGCACATGCAAAAAAAAAAAAAAAGTTGAAGAACCGTGACATTTATCAACACGTTTGCTGCACATTTTAACATTTATAATCCCATTGCGTTTCCATTGAGTTGAAACCTATTGTTTAACCAGAACTCGGGTGACTCCCTGTGAAATTGCAAATTAAGGTCTGACATGGGGTTTTTTTCGTTGTTTTTTCAGAGCATTCTACATCAGAGTGCAAAAGCTTTCAAGTTGCATGTGCTAATTCAATGGTCACTTGTTTCTATAATTGGCTGATACCCCTAGCGAAAGAGATTTGACCGGGCTTTTATAATCGTTTCAAAAAAGAGGTACTTGTGGATGGCACAGGTATAGGTATTTTCACAAAGTTGTATTAAAAAGAGGAAATGTGGCCAGATGATGATATTAGTAGCATCTGTTCAGAATCAAGTCAGATAGAAATATGAAAAAAAAGGCTACAAAACACCACAATGTGCCTGCACGCATCTGCCTGCATGCCTGCATATGGTTTATTTGTATGTCTGTTTTTGTCAGTGCGTTTTTATCCAAGAGAGGACAGCAATTAGTTAAGTGCTATCAAGTGGATGAAAAGCTGCAACAAATCCCCTTTATAATTTCATGGAAAAGAAAGCACACAAAATAGAACGGGGTAGAGGGGGAACTAGTTTCTAATGCTTGCCTTTTCATTTGTAACTTGGGAACAAATTGAGCACCAAGAAGCTGCGCTGCGTCTTTGTCTGTGTCTTTTTTTTAAAAACAATTGAAATGCCGACTTGTTCCTTTAAACCTTTTTTTGTTTGCGTTGTTGTTGTTGTTGTTGTCTTTAGATGTTGCCAGTGAGGATGAGTGAGGAGATGGGATTCATCATGATGCTGCACTTGTTGTTTATTTGAATAAACATCAAGGCCGCCTCGAGTGCTGTCTGAGAGTGCGCCAGTGTGGTTTTGAACAAAGACCGCCAGGTCTAATGACTGCGGCTTGTTGTTGGCGCACGCACTCCTTGTGATGTTGTAGTCCGCAGAGAAGATTCATTCTCCTTTATTATTTTCTTTATTCAAAAGTATTTATTCTTCTCCGTCGAGTCTCATCCAGACGCTTTCCAATCCTTCGTGGCGCGCTGGCGGTCCGCCCTGCAGATCCCGTCGGTGGGCGAGAGAGAGACGGGAAGGAGAGGATCATCTCTCGCTTTGACAGGTCTGTGAGCCCGGAGTTTTGACTGACAGCTGATAGCAGCGGCGGCCAGCGTGTGTGGTGGCTTGTCAGACGATGAGATTTGTGTTGGCTGTGTTGTTCGGGTCGAGCTTCTGACAGCCAGGGGTTAGTGTCTGCATCCCCGGTTGTTTACAACCATCCCCGGCCTTGTTAAGACCGTGACCTTCCACCTCCGTGTTTACCGACTCTGGCTCGTCAGGCAGCAGAGAGTGACGTGCACTCACGTGAACCTGCGCGGACGTCCGTCTCAATCGGTATCCCGCGGTTACAACACGTTAAAAGCGATGTTACACCTACATCGCGGAGAAGTTGCGGGTCCGATGTAAAGCCATTGCATACACAGTTAAACGGCAAAAATGGCGAAGATAATCAGCAATGTGGATGCAGCGTCCTACATTCGGCACCAAGAGTTGTAACTTCCTTTCCGAGCACCTGAATAGACAGCTCATTATATGAGTACCTCTCTCCCTTCTCCCCCATCCGGTCCTGGATGGCCCATTTGACCCCCCTCTCCTCAAAGGGCACATGTCACATCCACATTAAGGCACTAGGGAATGCTTTATTTGTTTACGCGAGGGCCATCCTCTGCCGTCCCTTCCGCAGGTCACACTCGGTTGTCACTGCCGCTGCATGTCATTGCCCTCGTGCGGGTTTAGTGTTCCAGGTCAAATTATCCGTGGATTTGAACCGAAATTGGGGATGGCAGAGGCGAGGATCAGGCCGGGCCCGGGCTCTCTCCTCTGTATTAAGCCATCAGTGCTGTAAGGCGAGCTCATATAATGAACCCTGTCACCACTACCACCGCACCAATATCCCCACAACACGGCGTGCATATTGATTGCAGATTGTGAGTGCGAGAGAGACACGCGTGCACATGTACGCATGTACGCAATGTATGTATGCGTGCGTGTGCGCGCTCACCTCTTTTTTTTCTGGCGAGGGGCAAGGGAATCGTGTTACTCTCAGGCTGATTAGAAAGCTCATGCATAGGAAATCACGACAGAGACACTGCTCCCCATCTGCCCGCAGTGCAGGTGAAAACAATTTACACATCGGCAGGCTAATGGATACATTCATAGGGAGCACAGACAGAGGGGAAAGAGGGATCAAGGGGGAGAGGGAGAGAAAAACGGAGAGAGAAAAGGGAGAGGGCTTGTAATGGGCCCGGGCCGATGCAGGCCAGTGGCCCTGCTCATGCGGCCGAGCCGGATAGCAGCGTATCAGATAACACATAATCACCGGGGTCGCGGGCTAATGAATGCGGTCGCGGCCCCCGCCAGAGCGGGCTTTAGCCCGCGCTAAAGACACTCGTAAACAATTCGGCTGGGTGAAACATGGCAATAATATGTTGATTCAGCAGGTAATGAGGTTCTCCCTGAATCAATAACCCCCCTCCCCCCGCCGGCTAACCCCCTGCTCCCAGGTGGGCCAGTGAAGAGCAGAGAGCCACGTCGCTGAGCGCACACCTCTGCCGGTGACCTTTCCGCGGCAGTAAGGACACGAGGCGGTCTGAAGAGGACTATTCTCGTATTGCACAAGGCGCTGAGTGTCAGAACTTTCATTCGCAGCAAGCAAATGAACAGGCAGGCGCTGCATGCTAATGAGTGGCAGGCTATTTTCCACCTTTTTTATCTGCACATTATGCTCTTGACTTTGGAGAAGGTGGGAATTAGGTTGGACCTCAGTGTCAGGCTGCCTGATGGCTCCGCTCAGGAAAAACTGGTAATTGAAGCCGATGGCTGCCGCGGAGGAGGTCTGAATTTGGAAATAAACAGTTTCAAGCACTGCACGTCATTTCTAGAGAGATGACAGGGGGAATGGAAATGAGCTGTCTGGATCTAATGTGCTTTCGCAGCAGGGGGGGGGGGGGAAAGGGGGCCATCTT